TTGAGAAAGCGAAAGTAGCTATCATCGTCATCATCAGACCGTTTCCGTTTTCAAAGTAGAATTAATAACGTAGTGGATGTACAATATACATTATGTACATTACAGGATGAACAGTTTTATATCAATATCATAGATTTATCGTTTCTACCAGAGAAATTAACGACTGTACATAAATACATACCGACTCAAAATGTAAGTAAGACATATATTTTGTGTGCGTATATTATCTCGTGCATATATCCAAATAAGATACTTGAAGACAATTCAGTCACGGTTTCATTGTACACAAGACTAAATACATCACGGACGGTTGTATTGTAATAAAACCGATGTTTAAACAAAAACCGCAGTGCATTATATATACATTTCTTTCTTCTTAAAATAGGTAGCAGTTAGGAATATGGCAAAAAACTCAATACTTATACAAAACTAAAACTTAAGAATTTAATATATATTAATAATAATAAGTACTTAATATATAATAATATAAACAATAAACCTTTTAAATTTTTTTCCTCAAAGGGTTTTAAATTTAGTTACAGTTGTGCTGACAACCTCTGAAATAAAAAAGGAGTCAAATTAAAAATTATGGACTTAAAATTTAAATTCAAGACACCTAATTTATTTTTATCCAATTAGTACAATTTGTAATTGCCTCGTTTATGCAATTTGAACTAATAAATATAAATGTTTATATGCATACTCTAACTAACCCACTTATGTCTGACAGTCAAGCCTAACTAGACTAGTTGGTAGCTACGAATATTTGCCTCGAATAAACGCTAACATTATTTAAAATAGAGACCTTATTTTAAATGTAGGTATTTTATGTTAGATACTTTAATATCAGAATAAAAACAATATGTTAGACGGGTTGTACTAGAAACACATACATCTAAACTTTTTGCTAACTGATAAAACCATTACGAGTTAAATTAACATCACGTCACTATAGATAAAATAACAACATTTACCAGAAACTGTAAGAACGTTTGACAAAATGTTACCAATTCCAAAAACTTAAAGGCTTTAATATAGAGAAATATAAGGCCCGAAGAAAAAGAAAATCTTGCATAACACGAATCATTCATAAAACTAGAACAATCTAAATCCGTCAACAGACAATCAATCACTTCAAAAACTTCAAACCGCGATAAAATCAATTTTGTTTGACGATGCCAATAAAGGTAATACCGTCACTCGATATTTGATCTGATCAATGGTACACACGGCTACATATCAAGCCAAACAAACCAGTATAAACTGACGGTAAAATGTGCGAAAAGATCCATGCAAAGTGAGACCAAGATAGATTGGTAAATTACAAAGCCGTGTGTACATAACCGGTTTAAAACAAACTACATACCAGCCCCTGTCCGCACTTGTACTCTCTCCCAATCTTTCAACATGACATTGACGACATGTTGTATGTGATTGTGACGCCGCATTCCCGATACTTATTACGAAACTAGAACAACTGCGAGTACAAATAGAGATCTCTCTCGTGTCACGCCCACAGCCTATCTAATTATTGTGCTGACAAACTTGCGTACATGCGAGTCGATAGTCAAATATATAATGTTCATTTTAGAACAAATATATAATGTTCAATTAGAACAAAATAAGTGCATAGGGTGAAGTCAGTGTAGCATATCTGATATTGAATAAGTCTGTCGTAATTATTTATTAACATGATTTTTAAATCTTTTGTTTTCAAAACACATTTGGCATATTTCTGATTACTACGCGATAGAAATAATGTATATTACAATGATACTATAAAATATATGACACGTTAAAAAAATAAAAAAAAAATTATTATGAACCCATACTTTATACTGTCAAGTGACACACCTGTATTAAAGTTGTTTATTAACTGTTTATTGAGGCTTGATACACTTCATTAATTATGCATTAACTAAGCCGGCATTAAGCCACAAAGTATACGGCCTCATTGGTCTAGTGACTTTAACCGCAACCACAATTATTGGGCAAGAATTCCGAATTCAGACGATTTCCGGATGAGAAGAAAACTTAGTACCTACTTTTTCAAAATCTTCAGATTTGAATGAAAAATATTCCAACTTGATACACAGTCTCGGTACAATACAATTTTACACTTTCCTTTTTAAGCGGAGCCCAATTGTATATTCTTTACTCAATATTTAGAAATCGATAAACCACACTAAGCCCAACCCCGGACATTTAAAACCTCGTGTTTTTCATTCATACATGTAGCTACTTGACACTCTGCTTGGTTCAAAGTTTGTCATTATTGAGTGAATCAAGTATGTCTACTGCTGTATTCAAATATTGATGTTTCTTTGTAATAGATCGTCAGTTTCGTCAGCGTCCATTTATTTATTTACATTACACCCACAAGGCAAGACTTTAAAGTTACTTGACAAACCTAGTTTGAACCGACTTGGTTCTTTTATTACGACATATAGTGAGTAACGTACAATCTAACAATTTACTTAAAATGTACTCGACTCATTAATACAAATGTCAGCGCCAAAGATTTCCAATTTGTGTTAATACCAGTACAAATTATGATAATGAGAGGCCTAATATATCAGGCTAAGTCTAATATATAGCTTGCAACATATAAACATACACCGCAGGTGGTATACTGATAGAAGCAGATATATTATTATTTTTTATAATGTGGCCCCAACTCTATAATCACTATATCATATAATACAAACTAAGATGAATTATTAGCTCATAGTAAACTATGTCATGTCGTAATTCTAATGTAATATCATAGTTATTCACTTGACATTTTATAACAATTTTTCAATCGATTATTGCGACCATAATTACTCATGAAACATGCATGTAGTAAAAAATGCGTACGCACAGGTGTCCTAACAACAAGCGTTATGTACCTATATCCGTTTCTAAATGCAATTATTAAATACATACACTGTTATATCATTAATATTTTATGTTAAGGTAACTATTGTTAAAAGCCTTGATTTACTTCAGACTTGTATCGTAAACAATCTCGATCGTTTCATTGACAACTTTATCAGTTTAATTTAACTTTAAGTTGGATTTATCATACGGATAATGGAAAATAAAATGCAATCTGTAATAGTGTTTAAACCCATAAAGGCTTTAAGTGCTAATTAGCTAGCTTAATCCTTATAAAATGGTCCCCTAAAATTTGTGGTGTAAAACGAATGTTGCATTGTTATCCTATTTGCACCTTATACAACGTTGAGTATTAAAAGGTAATATTATATATGAATATTAAATGTATACTAATTCCTGATTTATTAGATTATTAGAGATATTGATTAGCCACAAAATACTTAAATTGTTTCTGCAAAACTAAGAAACGGTTATCTCTTAAATCAAATTTTCCTTCCTCATTTGACAAAACGGATCTTGTAAGAAATAAATATTTTGTCCTGTTCAATAGCCGGTTGCGTCATGTGAGCGGATTAACCATAAATTTTCCAAATGTCTTGTAGGTGTGATGTCGGCATGTCCTCGCGGCCAAGCTCTAGATTTAATGCGATAATGTGTCCCCATGTGACAACTTGCAGTAATTTATTGTTTCTACTTGCAATCATTTATAACAGCCTTTCAATATTATTGAGCGCATTAGAATTCTGTACCACTGACTTTGAAATTTAATCACACTTTAGGTAGATTTTATTCAGAGTCCTGAAACCTTTGAATTAGTACTTCTATTGCTCACTAAACATAAATAACTATTAACAACCCACATTTTAATTTTAAGTTACACTGCATTCTAACGTGTAATCTTAAACTAAAAGATAATAAATGTCTATAGACAAAGATAATCTTTGTCACCTTAAAACAAAAATACTGCAGAAGACACTGAAATTATTGTTATTATCATTTTAACTTCAAAGGATAGACTATTTTAGAAGCAGTCTACTGAGTCGTTGCAGTTCAAAGTATATCAAATCTTTAGCAATCCACAGTTTCAAACAGATAATTTATAAGCCAGCTGTTAATGGAAGGTACATCGAAACATCAAAGAGTTATTAGCACGATTTATATATAACTTCGAGGGCCACATCTCTTAAATAGTGATATATTGATCGTAAATAAGGGCAATTACATTGTTAATTACTAAATTGCCAGCAATCAAGTCTATTAGCTAATTTATTAGCTGATTCTATCATTCTTGTATTTATAAAAAATATTTTCTAAACGCCATAACACCAAAGATAACAAAAGCCCGAAAAATAATTTATTTATGAAGTAGATGATAAAAAATAAACACTAATTTATTTTCAATAACTCAGCAAAAAGATATCTCCGGCTAAGTATAGGCTTGTAGTATAAACAAAATATTCAGAAAAAGAAAAATAGGTACCAGTGCATAAATTGATGTGTTTTAAACAAACAAACTTTGAACTTAATAAATGCGTAACGAGGAGCTCATTGCGATGCATCTCGGTTACAGCGGACAGAGCAAGGCCTCGATAGGAACGCTCGAGCACGCAACTAGCACGCTCATACAAATCTGCAAAAACTCTATACCTACACACAACCGCAAAACAGCACATAATTTCCCAGCACACGTTAACCTTGCATTATATAAACCTTTCATACAATGAGAGGTCAATTTATAATGGAAAAGTAGCATATTTTGCCGTCACCTGCACTAGAACCTGCCTCAACGCGTTAATTAACTATGCCCACTAATAAAAATTCTTCGCTATTCATTGCACGAGTTTGGTGAACACCTACATCGATGTTTGAAAGATAATTAATTAAGAAATTACTCGAGCGACTGTTTCATACAGACGGCCTTTATATAGCTACGATATGTATATCAAGTTTTATTTTCATTGATTTGAAACATATTATGTGTACCTACCTATGTTGTATGTATATAGAAATCTGAAAGCACTTTTAATAAATAGGCATTTTTTAATACCACTTTCATCTTAGACATAACGTTTTCAAAATGTGACTTACAACTTTGTAAATTATTTCTGTTTAATTTTCAGAAGTGTACTACGAGAAGCAGCGGTATGATGGTTGGTTCAACAATAGAGCTTACCCAGACTGGGGATCCGTTGGTGAGTTTAATCTGACATTATTTAATTACGAGCTTATTTAATTATCATAGTAGTAAAAACGAGTTATTTCGAGTTAGACGCCAATAAAAGCTGTCTTAAAAGTAATAAAGTAAGTTACGAATTTCTCTTCAAAAACTCAGAATTAAGAACAAAAGTTCCAAATTTTTTTACCTGGGAATTAGTTGTAGAAAGAACTACATAATATTAAGTTAAGCAACCTTAATTCTACTCAATTTTAATTCTAAGAACTTCCAATGTCGTATATCCCCTAGCTTCAAATTATCAGACCATGACTAATAATATACATCATCCGTTTTAAGTGTTGAGTGTAGACTGTTTAGTTTTTGTTACTTTTTCTTGCAATTTGTTTATGGTAGTTTAAGAGTTTTGCTAATCTAATCGTTTTTTATCGATAAGTTTTACCCACTAATTCACCAACCTCTAGTAGCTATACTATACATTATTATTTTATGTTTTATTAAATGTACTATTTTAAAGTTCTATGTTATAGCAAAGAGTTTTAACCTCTGGTCTAGAACAGAGTCCAAAGGATGATAAACTCGCTCCCCGTACCTAATTTGTAAAACTCATCACTACATAGTATAAAACAATGTCGCTATCCGCCGTCTGTCTGTCCCTATATATGCTTAGATCTTTGAAACTACGCAAAGGTTTTGATGCGGTTGCTTAATGAAGGTTTATAAGTATGATATATGCATACTGCTCCCGTGCAAAGCTGGGTCGGGCGCTAGTAATATTATAATAGATGCCTAACATTTGTCTCATACATAATTGATTTTTGACCTACCCTTTCGTTAAAAATGTATATGTTATCTACTATTACAACGACAATCTTTAACAACAGTTTAGGTAAAACGATCGAACTGTGGTTACTCATTAGGAGTAACACAAAACCATTCTTTGTTAAAACATTTAAGAAACCCGAATGGTTTCATAACACGCTATCAAATAATCCACACGGTCATATTCAACCTCTTTGTCAGCTGTCATTGTTTGAACTGACGTTAATCAAGTTCGATTTGATAATTCAAATAGTTAATATTTGATTTATCGGATTAACCTTGCTCTAATCTCAATTCTCAGCCACATAGCTAATTTGCCGTCATAAGTAGGGCCAAGCATTAATTCCTTTTCGTGTTCAGAATTCTTATTTGAAGTTGATTATTTGCATTAACATAAAGTTATGGACGTTTTAGTAAATGAGTCATATTTTCAGATTCATTATTTTGTAAGTCTTTTACAACACGAAATCATTTATGATTCAGTGTACAAAAATGAAGGAAATTGATAACTGGATTGTTCACATATTTAATTCTCTTTTTCTCGATCCAGTCTGTATTGTGACATGCAGTTAAGCATGCATTATATTTTTTCTTAATACATAACAACTAATGAACCAATACTTTTTCTCTTGATATTTCATTAAATACATTTAGAAATTTAACATTTATTTGAGTAGTATAATAGGTATGTCTCAATTTATGTTCATTATACACATTAACATATATTAATATAGTTGTTATTGCACATTAGGATGTCGTTGCACGTTCTTCTAGGTACATTACAAGTGAATAAGGCTTTTATCTTTAGCAAATTCTGTGTAATCATAAAATATACCCATTGAGTATCATACTATCTTAAAAACGCAATTTATATTTCAACACTCAATAGCATTGATACAAATTCAATCAAACAATCGACAAACATTTTAAGTTTTAAATATATACGTATATATGTCAAATTAGTTTAGCAGAACACATACATTAGATATGTATTCGGGTAGATTCATTTGTGTATTGTGAGTAGTTTAAAAATCGAGTTGTTAAACAAACGTCTGTGTTCGATGTCAAACACACACGTAACGTTTATGAACAACATTGTCATGATTTGTCAATTACACGGACACTGAACATAAAAACAATAGTCTTAAATCCTATTTACCTAACAGTGTACCCGAACCGTACCTAACATAAACCTACCACCACTACTTTTTAACATTCTCTGTGAAGTCAGAAAATTATGCAGCATCCTCAAAATTATTTTGAAGTTTTTTTATATAAATCCAACGTGGATGCCTGTTATAGTACGAGATCCCGCCTTGAACGACCTTCACCGAGATGCTTATTTGATGAAACATATTTTATATTCAATTTAATATGTCAATAATTATATTCCGTATGGGTTGCCTAATAAATTTCAGTCCAGAACATGACTAATTAATAATTTAAAAAATATTTTTTTTTCAAATGTTTCACCGGTTTGACTATTAAACAAATTCCATTTCAATCGAAAGTATGAAGCCCATAGAATATGGAAACGTTAGGTTGCCTATTGTATTCCAGTCATAACTCTCGGGTTGCCAGGTCTAAACAGGTAAATTTATAGTAGGATTTTGCAACGGCCTGATAATTTAATCAAATTTAATTCAAAATAAAGATTATATAATTATGAACACGGTAAAATAGGGTTGCCTGCGAAAAATCAGTCCTGAATTAGGGTTGTCGAATTTTAAAAAGTGAAATATTGCCGCGAGTGAATAGGTAAGACTGAGAGGTCCCAAGCAACCGTTCCGTGCGTTGGAAGAGGACAGAGTATAACAGCTGCTTTTTAATGCTGCTGCTGCTGTTTTTGTGTCATTAACAGAAGCTGCTGATATTTTCACTGAATCTAAAATAAAAATAGTTCAAGAATTTATAGCTTGTATGTATAGGATTAAGAATTGCACTAATGTGAATAATGCAAGATATCGCATTATTATGAAAAAATACTCTGCTAAAGAAGACAGTGAGCAGTTTCTAAATCAAAGGCTTTGACTCCAACTCCATACCTCCGTGCTGCATATCATTACCACAAAAAGTTTTACAAACTATTTAAGTAAATTCGATGTGGCTGAATGCAACAGATCCAATATGTATCAAACTTAAATCTGAGAGCTGTGGTTGGTACTTAGATGAATATTTAAAACCACGAGGATTTATTGGGGATCATGCACCTTTAAGAATAGATGATATTGTTGAAAGAACCGAAACAGAGAGAGATGACGAAGAAGATGCAGGTGTCGAAGATCTAAGCTTTATTTCCGATGACTCAGGAGCTGAATAATAAAAAAATATATTTCTTTATAATTTTGTATAGGTAATAAACAGTGATTTTTTTAGTTTTTTTTAGAAATTGCTCACTGTCTTCTTTAGCAGAGTAATTTTTCATAATAATGCGATATCTTGCATTATTCACATTAGTGCAATTCTTAATCCTATACATACAAGCTATAAATTCTTGAACTATTTTTATTTTAGATTCAGTGAAAATATCAGCAGCTTCTGTTAATGACACAAAAACAGCAGCAGCAGCATTAAAAAGCAGCTGTTATACTCTGTCCTCTTCCAACGCACGGAACGGTTGCTTGGGACCTCTCAGTCTTACCTATTCACTCGCGGCAATATTTCACTTTTTAAAATTCGACAACCCTAATTCAGGACTGATTTTTCGCAGGCAACCCTATTTTACCGTGTTCATAATTATATAATCTTTATTTTGAATTAAATTTGATTAAATTATCAGGCCGTTGCAAAATCCTACTATAAATTTACCTGTTTAGACCTGGCAACCCGAGAGTTATGACTGGAATACAATAGGCAACCTAACGTTTCCATATTCTATGGGCTTCATACTTTCGATTGAAATGGAATTTGTTTAATAGTCAAACCGGTGAAACATTTGAAAAAAAATATTTTTTAAATTATTAATTAGCCATGTTCTGGACTGAAATTTATTAGGCAACCCATACGGAATATAATTATTGACATATTAAATTGAATATAAAATATGTTTCATCAAATAAGCATCTCGGTGAAGGTCGTTCAAGGCGGGATCTTAGACTATTATGTTTGTCCCTGAACCACTTTCGATACGATCATATTTATAAAACAATTTAAGGAAACTTGACTTCAATGTGAGTGGGACTACTTTATATTTTTTGTGTGTCAATAATGGAGCAGAATTACGTAAATGGTGTGCGCCATTATTCTTGCGTATGACTTCAATATTTATCAACTGCCTTTTGAAACCAGCTGCATAAGACACGAATTATATTTTGGCAAATGTATCCTATAACGGTATAATACATCCAATGCAATTTGAATTATTAATATCAAATACCTAACGGGTAGTAAATAAATCTGCAGCTATTAATTTCAGAACATATTATTCATGGCAAAACTATTTTCATATTTTTAAAGTACATAGTATCTAAATTCGGTCGATGATAAATTAGTTAACAGTCACTCGCATAAATAACATTGACCGCTGTCGATTAAGTTATGACAAGACTTGGAAGCTTAAAATACCATTAAAAGTATGCTGGATGTTTATAAGATAATTCAACATTTTAATGTGTATTCGAATTTCTCGGTCCGATTCATTAAAGTTCCCGTATAAAGGCAGATATGACTCCAAAGAAAACGCGCCACGAATACTATTTTAATTAAACACAAAAAAAATAAATTTATTACCGTAATTGTAAATGAAACGTTAAAACAATATTTGTGTGGTTTTTAAATGTAAATAGATTTTATAATATATTGTAATGTAAGCTTTAAATTGAATCGCAATTTGTGCCGTAATTAGCTCAGTAAAATGTGGTAATAACGATTTATAGGCATTATTCGTTCTTCTTTAGAAGTAACTCAGTGGACCACTGAATTTTATTATAGTCATCCATCAACTAGCCAGTCTAACGTATAATTATAATTACTAGCCACTGTTTCATGTTCATGCTCATACATAATCGATTCAACGTAAAGAATCAATACTTTGAGCTCAGCGATTTTATCTTTTCAATTTACTTAGCATTGAATGGAGATTTTGTAAGATTTATGATTGCTACGGATTTATTGATTATTTGATTTGGGATTGTATTATAGAGGTACATTACCGACATTCAATATAACAATTGCATCTAAATTCAATACAAATGATGA